AGAAAAGACACATATGTTTTTACTATTTTTTTACCTTTACAATGGAGAATAACTAACATTTTACTGCCAAAAGTAATTTTTCCATTATGATCTCTTCTAACTTGGTAATGTGCAGTATTGTGCAAGCAGGTAAAAGAAATATAAAATGAGATTTCTATGCCTAGGATAGCAAATGAGTGAGCCTCACAAAAGAGCTTGAGTGCAGGGTTGTAGAGCAGCAGTGGCCACTTTGCAGTGGCTGTGCTGCCCTTTTGCTGTCAGCACTTTGTGCACAGCTGCTGTTCAGTACCTGGAGCTGGGGGAATCAGTGAGGGACGTGGCAAAGGGAAGGTGTGAAGCTGAAGCTGGGCAGTGGGTGGCTGTAAGCACAGTGTGATCTCTTCCCAGTGGAGAGCCAGCTGCATCACAGCCAGTGCTGGGCACTGTTCTTAGTTCCAGGATCCTTCCCTCTCTGTGTGCCCAGCTGTCAGCGTAGGCTGTGTGCAATAGTCCCAGTTCTGGTGGAGAGGAGAAGCAGGCAAGTGCAAAGTTATACTTTTTTATTACATGCAGGCACACACAAAATATGTATTTTCAGTAATTGGAATATTGTTCTGTTTACTGTTACAGCAAGAGCAAATTTGTTTATTTATTACATACAGCAGAAAATTTTACAGTTTGAAAATGTGACAGTTTTGTAAGGGTTGTTGGGATCATAGCAGAATTTCATATCTGAGAGTTTTTAGCATATGTATTGGGAAGGGTTCTAGCAAGTGTATCACATACCATCAGTACCTTGGATATTTTAATTCTAACTGCTATTTGAACAATCTGTTGTGGAACAGAATTTGATTGTAGAGATGTTTTATGTATCATCAGTGATAAAAACTGGGAAGATAGGCATGTTGAGGGGTGTAAGTAGCATTGAATATTTTGATACTGTAAAACCTTATCATATTTCTAAATCTATACAGAAGTTTTAAATTCACATTTGTTTTAGTTTTATCCAGAGTGTAAATTCTGAATTAAGGATCTGAATATTAAATTACTTTTTTGTTGTTGTTGTTGAAAATGGCATTTATGATTTGTTTATGAAGTCCAAATGAAACTTTTTTCTAATGTGCACCAAAGCATCACTGACTAAAAAAAAAAAGCCAATAATGGGTAGGACCTATTCTCTACATCACAGCAACTGCAGTGAGAGTGGCCTGACCTGCCAAGGTCAGTGAGTCACTTCAGCTGTAGAAGTGAAGCAGTAGAACCTGTAGGTTTGAACCTGTGAAGTGTTGCCCTACAGTGTCCTGACTTTGGTACTCAAAATGAGGCAATACTGATCAGATAAATGAGTCTTGAATTTTAACAGGGTGCTGACACAAGCATGAGTCAAACAAGCAGAAATATGTGAAAACAACTTCAAAGCAGAATTAAAACAATGTAATGGGTAAGAAAAGCATTAATATTACCGAGCCCAAAGCAATACTTAATTAGCTTGCTTTAGTTATTTTCCCTGGGCTCTATTTCAAAATAAATCTAGGCTTCAGTAAGAACCTGAATCATCAATTTACTTTTCTGGAATTTAAGAGAGGAATTTAAGACACATGAAATATGGCTTTTCTGCATGGAAAAGGAACATAGGTAAATAATACTAATTAGATTTTTAAATTAACTTCTTGCACTTGAGTTTTGGTGTGTTTCAGCCTGATGCAGGTTGAGTCACAGCTACTGCCTTCAGGCACTGCCCTGGTCTCATGCTTCCAGCTGTGCTCTGCTAAGCAGTGCAGCAGAAACTGGTGGGCCCATGGTCCAGGCAGGATGGACTCCTGCACACATTTGGGCTCTGCCTGGCTTTATTGGTCTTGAGCCAGGTGGAGTTTAGAGCAAATCTGAGCCTATCTCAATAATACCTTCAGAAATAGCAAAAGGACTGTAATCCTACAACTGCATCTCACAAGTCACATCTATTTTATAAGGTGGAGTTAGTTGGGAAGTATGGATATGCAGGCAGCATTAACAGTTCCATTTTTTGATTTCTGCATGCAGATATTGTTAGCTCTGTGCTATAAGTGCAAATAAAAGAGTAATCGTCTTTGTGCTTTGTATAGACATGCAATTTGCATTTCCTGTGCTTTGCACTGTTGAATAGTTGGCATTTCTGTCTCAAACATAAAACTGTAAGTAATGGTGTTTTGAATTATGTGGATTGAAACAGTAAGCTGTTATCAAAAGCCCATTTGGAGAAGTGCAATTTTCTGATTTTAGAAGCCAGGAAAATGCAGCTCTGGGCCCACTGCAGTGACAAATGCACACTTAGCTCCCTGTACTTTCTGTGGGAGTTCAACTGTATAATAACCTTTATGATGATGATCTTTGAAGATGTTCTGCATTAAACATTTAGAATGGTGGAAGGAAACGTTAATTCATAGAGGGGAGTATGTCTCTCCTTATACACCCCCATCGATGAAGAACTTATTTGTGTCAGGAAGCTTTCCAAATGGTGGAATTATTATGTGAACTGAGGTTCTTTCCAAAAGCTGCAATACTGGCAGAATTGAGCCCAGCTGCATGCTGGTAACTTCCCTCTGGTTTTGTAGAAGTTTTCTTGTTAGTGTGTATACTCTAGAATTGTTGGAATATGAATAGTGAAAACACTGTAAATCTGGGGAGTATTATAAAAATCAACATACTACATCAGCTGTTGGCTAGATAAGTGAAGAGAAGTGGGAAATGAAATCTGTTATTTTTTCAATCATCTGTTAAATTCAGTGCTGGAAAACCATCACTCTGTGATGGTAATTGGTGACCCATGTAAAATGGATCTTTCATATCTTGGGATTTTACTCTACAGACACTTGATGGCAAAACCAATAAAGTCTCGTCCCTCTTGTTGTGGTCAGCGTTGAGATCAGTACAGGCAGGGGCTGAGGGCAGGAGGGTAAGCACTGTGCTTGTTGCACAGGGGTGATGATTTCTATCTCTAGGAGGTGTTTCAAAAGCACCAAATTTTTATCCTTACATTTAAAAAAATATGTGGGGAACAACATAAAAAAAACCCCAAAGCCAAACTAGAAGTGTAGTTGGTGTATGTTAACCTACAGCCGGCAGTTTTGTAGGTGTATTTTTCCTTTAAGGCCTGAAATGCAAAATACTTTGGAACCTTCCTTTATTCCATTTTGGTTCACATATATCCTGGTGGATATGCCTTTTGCAGTTTGGCATAATATTGCATAGAACAAAAACAACAACAATTCTATTTTTCAGTAATGTAAATTTGCAAATGACAGCTGGTCATCGTGTTTCATTTGTAGATGTTAGCACCTCTGAGAATTTTCCATATTGAAAACTCTTTAATTTAGAATGTTAGCAAATGCTATTTATTGAAACTGTATTTTATGAAGACTCATAAGTCATATAAAGTATTCCAGATTTTTGCAGATGTGACTTATTACTATGGAGACTTTAAAGTTGTGTAGCCTATGAAGTACCATTTAACATTAGTTTCTTTTGTCATACTTTGTCAATCAAAATGCCTTCAGAATCTGGTTTTAACATTAATTTGGTCATAATATTAGTCTTTATACTTGACTATTTTTGATGTTTAATATGGTTCATATTGTGTAATTTCAAAGTATTTTTATTGTTATTTTAAAAACTAATAGTTCTTTTATTAAAATTTTCTTTCTCCTAGTTTATAACAATCTAAAATTGATGTATTGCAATGCACTTCTGGGAAATATGCCAACAGCTGTGGGGGTTAGTTTCAGGATGGCTATTCATAGCTCATATACACTTTCAAGTGCTTGCTTGAGTGGGTACAATCCTGTTTTTCAGAGTTCTTGGTAGCAGTCTTGGCCGGATACACAAAGGCATGTTAAGACAGAGTCTGGTAGCTGTAAACATAAAGTTCAAGGGTCCATTTTAAAAAATAAATGTTCAAATAGAGTCTAGTTTTTCAAGTCGGTTCAATTCTATTTCAAATTAAGCCAAGGGTTTCAAATGGGGAGGCTGCTCTTATGTAGATGTTGTACTTGCTTAGATGATAAAATTTGATTCCAGTTGTTCAAAGTGACACATATTCAGTCATTTCTCATGTCTTTTTTGTTGGGGTTGTTCATACCAGCACCCCTGCACTGTCCCCCTCCCACCCAGTGTTTGTTTGGGACAGAGCTTGTTTTACTGCTAGCAGCTAATATGGCTTGTGGTCACAAGGCCTGCAGCTGAACAGCTTCAAATGCAATGAGCCCTTGAGGGGCAGCATGTAAGCAGGGAGCATTTAAATACTGGCTCTGGCACAAAGTTTCTCTGTAGGCATAGCTGGGATATTTTATCTCTCATTTTTTATCGCCATCTGCAAAATGAAGTAATACCTGCCTACCTGCCTCATAGGAGCACAGATGATTGACTCATGCTTGTGAAGTGACAAAGGAATGCACTGAATGCACACAGAAGCCACCTGTGATCCACAAATATATGAGGATTAATTCATGGAAAAACCTAAAATTATTAGCAACCATGTTCATGTGTAGTGACATAACTCCTGGAACTGAAACAAGGGATGGATGTCAAGATGGTGGTGGAGCCTTTCAGTGTCCTCCCAGTGACTCTGAGAAACTCGAGCCCTTCCATAGGCAAATGTAAACCTTTTGAGAAATATTTTTTAATCCCCAATGCAAAGCCTTTCTTGTTTCTGAGTGCTGTCCAGTCCTTAAGCCTGGCTTTCTTTGGTATTGCTTGGGCTCCTTTCAACTGGCTGTGCCTGCAGTGCAACGGCAGCTGGCATGAGTTTGGTGAACTCGTTGGTATTCACTGGTAACTTTAAAAACAGGAAAATCACCCCTTTTTGTCAAATTACACGCATTTCATGGCAGGACTTTTAACAAGATTCCAAGGATGCTGCTCTCTTTTATAAAATGAGATAAATTAGCCCCCTGTTGTGTTATGTTTACTAAACCCACAGGACTATTACTGTATGCTTTTTGTATGTGTGGCATAAAACTACAACAGATGGATTTCGTTTCTTTTAGAAGATAAAGGGAATGAAAAACCCAACAGTGTGAGTCAGCAGTCCAATACAGAAGTGGATCCTTTTCTTCCCAAACCTGGAGTGGCGCCTGCAGCACCTGCCTCATCTTCCAAGAGCACCAACGGAGCTGCTAACACAGTTACTGAGTCAGAAGAGGAAAAAGCCAAAAAACTACTTTACTGTTCATTATGCAAAGTGGCTGTGAATTCCCTTTCACAACTAGAAGCCCACAATACAGGTGAGTATCCACATGGTACAAGTCAGCTGTGTGTTAACATTTTTAAAATTCAATGTTTCAAGGTGGTAGCCACACTTCACTGAAGCGTCTTTTAGTTAAAACTCACAATAGCAAGTTAAAACACTGGTCCTGTTAATGGCAGTTTCCTGTGTGGTTTTTGATATTCTATTAAAGCAATCTCTAATTTTTTTTTAACTGTTCTTCATGTACTCTCTAAATTTTTAGTTGACAAAATCCCTACAGTTCATGTTAACTAATCGGATCCCTTCACACTGAGCATCACAGTAAAATCATAGTGGTTTCTACAACAGTTAAGGTTTACAAAATGCCAGTGTTCTCTCTTTTTCATATTTTATCTCATTATCATTAGTAACTGTTATTTTGCTGGTAAAGCTTACAATAATTGATTTGTTATTTGATTTTTTAAAATAATTTTAGGGTGGGCTCATTAGGTTTCCTAGATGTCATAGAATCTTCTGATTATTGAAGATTAGTTACGTGCCTTTTTTTGGGCCACCAGCAGCAATCCCTAGTGTGCTCTGTCTGTGTATGGTGTGCTGGTGATGTAAAGCTTGTTAACAAGCCATTGAAGCTGGTTTTACAGCCGTAATCCATTCTTGAAATGGGTAAAGCAGCTGTTTCTTCTGAATCAGAGGATATTTATTGAAGTATTACAGTTCGTAGGCAGGTTTTGAGGGATTGCTGTGGTTCCTGTCCCAGTGTTGGCTAATACCATTTTCTGCTATTCACTGGCTCTATGGAATTTGGCAAAAGAATAAGCAGCAAACACTTTGGCCATCCAGTCACACACTGCCCTAAACAGTGTGGTCCAGCATGCCTGCTGTTCCCTTATTTGCACAAAGCCTTCTGGCTTGCCTTTAGCTCAAGGACACAGGAGCTACACTGACTGAAACAAGAGTGATCATTAGTCCCAGTCTGTGGTGTCTTTAACCATTCTGTCTTGAAGATAAATGTTACAAAGTCCCAAGGCTGAGGGAATGTTTTGTGCTGCTGATCATGAGCTCACCTGCATCTCCTTGCCCATTAGGCTCCAAGCACAAGACCATGGTTGAAGCTCGGAATGGTGCTGGTCCCATCAAGTCCTACCCTCGGCCTGGATCCCGAATGAAGGTGCAGAATGGCAGCAAAGGCTCAGGACTGCAGAACAAGACGTTCCATTGTGAAATCTGTGATGTCCATGTTAATTCAGAAATTCAGCTTAAACAGGTAACTTCCATGTATCTGGAGCTCTTTGTTGGTTGAAGTTACATGGCAATGTTGTAGGTGCAGTGTAGGGCTGTGTGAAGATGTGTTGGTGAATATTGAATGAACTTAGTATTTCTTATCTGTCTTCCCACAACTATTTCTGAATATTTCATCATAGGTCAAGTTCACCTTATTGTTTTAGCTGGGAAAAATGGGCTTGGTAGTTGTAAAAGCAGAGGTGTCAGTATCAATGAATGGTATAGCGGATCTCATTTAAAAGTTTTCTATGGTTTAAGATAGGGATTTGAATCTTGTTCTCCTAACTATAATAAATTCTGTGTTGAGGTTCCCTGAATGCATCTTTTGGTGTTGTTTTGAGTCTGCTGTAATAATGTTTAATGCTATGTGAGAAGGAAAACATGACTCAAATCTATTGGTTTGGGACAATCACCAGTAGGGTAAAATGTAGATATGTCTGAATTATGTAGAACAACATTATCATTAACAGTGTGGCTGTTGTGTGCTCATGGAGCTGTTCTCTGAGCCAATTAGCCCTGGGTTCAGAGCTGTGCCCATACAAATGCAGTGATTCTGGTACCCAAATGGGAATCTCTGACTGGATGGTGCTGTGCTCCGTGAATGTGCCCTCTCATTCCTGTTCTTCAGTTAGCTCTAAGATAATTTTAAATGCATGTGTAAGCATATCCCTAGGTACTGGTTCTTCCTTCAGCTAATATTGAATTGTTTACACAACTGAACAGTACCAGCAAGATGGAAATTTACCTCTTACTTCTGAATATCCCTATGGCCTAGCGACTACAGCTCTGCCTGGTTTAAGGCTCCTCAAGTGGAAAAAGGAAATACCAACCAAAATATCAATAATTTGCAGACCCTGTCTTGAATCACAGAATATGCTGTATTTGATTAGTTTATGATTCTCTATTTGATATGCTCCAAATTTACCAAAACTCATCCTTGCTCTCTATAAAGAACCTACTTTATCTTACAAGCAGGGTCTTAGGCATATCTTGCTGATAAATCAATTTCAAACTCAAAACGGAGAAATGTTTAAAGAGCTAATTAAATGTGAGGATATTTATTTCAGCACATTTCCAGCCGAAGGCATAAGGACAGAGTTGCAGGAAAGCCTATGAAACCTAAATATAGTCCTTACAACAAACTGCAGCGCAACCCAAGTATTTTAGCAGTAAGTATTTTTTTTTTTCTCATCACTGTCTGTGTGAATTTGTGACCTTGGGGACTCCCACTGCACAGAGACAGGAACATGACAGACCTGACGCTTCTGCAGCCTCTCTTCCCCTGCAGGCTGAGTCTGCACAGGAATCAGATGTGAAGATAGTTATGTGTTCTGTCTGCCCAGTCCAAGGCATGCAGACAGCACTGCAAGTGTTATTTAGTGCTAGAAAGAAGGGAATAGTCAGTGGAATGGGGAATGGACCCATTGTCCATTCCCCATGGAAAGGTATCGGCTCTGCTGGGCAAGGGCTCTTTTCTTTGAAGGCATCAATGGGTATACTCTGTCTTTTTGCACACCTGAGATAACTCTAAGTTATGATGGATGCAGTCAGGCAAAAGGACGTAGAATTAAGATATAAAGATATTTTTAAGATATAAAAATACTAGTGCTCATTCTCTGCATACAGCAAAGCAGGATGCTGTGTGGATGTATGAGTTGATGCAAAAGAGCCATCAGGTGTTTAGGAGAATTGACTGCCTGTATGTTCAGGCCATGTCTGTCACTGGATATCAAACACCTCTCCTGTCTCTGTGCCACTGGTCAATCTCTGTCACATGCACCTGCATTTCCAGGCATCCCCCAAGCTGGTCCTGCTGATCAGCTGCAGCCAGAGTTCAGGCTGGCTTTAGCACAGCACAGTTTGTATGCTTGTTTGCTCATGACACAGCCAGCGTTCATTAGAGAAAACTGCTTGCCACCTATGGCACAAAAAACAGTTTACAGGTTGAAAAGAAACAGATGCTAATGTGTGTAGGTAAGAGAAAGCATGTGGAAAGCCTGTAAAACATCGATATGTCTTTGTAATTGCTTAGAGGTAAATGAAAATGCTGTAGGCTTCCTCTAAGTCTACCCACTTGATAGGTACTGGCCATGCTAATATTCTTCACTTGTATAATACATCATTTTATCATCTATTGCATAAGGAGAAACCACCAATTATAGAGGAAGGACACAAGTATTTTTGCCTCCACAATTGAATGATTGTAGTGCAAACCATTTTTAGTGAGAGATCTAGATATAAGTGTATATATTTCTGATTAGCTGTTTCACCAGAAGCACCAGCAATGCTTGTAGAGTCTATGTAGAGTCATATATATACATATATTTCAGAAAAAAATTATTTTTGGCATCAATCTTAAATAATATTTCTACTTTGAAAAGAGCTGGTCTGCATTGGAAGGTGCACAGCTGACTGGTCACACCTTCCCATCTTGTCCTTACTACATACTTTTCTACAATTCATTTTTGGAAGTGAAAAATTTGACTTTTTATATTGAAGTCTTAATCATAAGGGTGTTTTTAATATTTCATGCACAGAGTTATAATTTATATAAAGTTACTCACTTGCAAATTATGCTTCCTTCTAAACATCAGTGAGATGGTCTCTAGACTCAAGAGATTTATTTATATTTAAATATAGGATTTGGTTGCTTTAATTGCCCTAGGACTAAGAGGACAGTGCAAGTAACACTTCTAAGCTGCTGGCAGGAGATTTCTTGGGGTAGCCACAGTGTTCCCTGTGCTAGGGTTCACTTTTTCCCTTGTGCAAAAGTAGGCGTTGGGAGAACTGTATTTACACTGCTTTTGTGTGTGTGTTTTATTCCAGGCAAAACTTGCATTCCAGAAGGACATGATTAAGCCTCTGGCACCTGCTTTCCTCTCCTCTCCTCTTGCTGCAGCTGCAGCTGTATCATCAGCTCTGTCCCTCCCTCCCCGGCCCTCGGCATCCCTGTTCCAGGCACCAGCAATACCGCCAGCCCTTCTGCGGCCGGCCCACGGGCCCATCCGGGCAACGCCTGCCTCCATTCTCTTTGCACCGTACTAATTCACTGATGTGAGACAGAGATAACTATGGCCAGTACAAAGGGCAAAGGAAAGCAGGAAAGGGGTTGAGGTTTTAAAATGTTTCTCTTTTGCAATGCCATCCAGCATGACACCTCATCCAACTGCATCATAAAATCCATCGTTGGCAGCACTGCGTTTTGGAGTCTAGACAACTCTGTCTTCTCTCTGTCTCTATTTTTTTAATCAAAATAGCATAATTTGCTTAAAAATTAAATTGATCATAAAATTTGTACTATTAAAGTTTCACGCATCTATTCATTTTTTCTTTTCCTTTTTTTTTGTTTGTTTTGTTTTTGTTTTTTGTTTTTCAATTTGTACGATGTACCTTGGAATCAAGGAACATAAAATATTTTCCTGACAGACTTGAAAACTAGGGTCTTCCTCACTCACACCTATCTAAATACTTCTCTGAAAAGCAACGGGGTATAATCTAATGTGGAAAAAAGGAAAAGGCAGATGAACCAAAAGCTTGATTGCAGATAACATCTCAAGAAAGAATTGCATCCATTATTTTCATGTGCTCTTGTTGACAGGGATTGTGTGCTGTCCTAGACCCCAGTACTGGTGTATCTTGTGTAGTACTACAGATGTACTATGTCTGATTTTAATATTTTTAGTTTCTGTGCAAATGTTTGAAAGCAATGCAATGCTGAAGCTTTTAATTATTTCTTTTGTGTCATACTTTATTTAGAGAAATCAAGAATAGAAAGCCATATAACATAGAGTTAAGATTACTGCTTGTTTGCTACTTTCATTTAACTTATTTTTGTTGTTCCTTCACTGGTGCTGCTAAGCAATGTTTAAAGAGAAAAAAAGCTTTTCAATTGCACATTGCCACAGCTCACGTGTTGTTCAAGAAGACAATGGATCCATGTGTTTGTACGTAAATATCTGGTTTTCTTAATTTCTAACTAGTTTCCTTTGTAATGATGCTGCATAACATTGTGGCTCCCTAATGCAATAATGTACAGAACATGAAATATTTATAATTGACCATATTCTCTGTTTACTGAATATATTGCAGTAATGTCCCACCTATCTTCTTACCTCCCCAACCCTTTTATAAAGGTGAATCAATATGCAGTGCTCAGACTGGAGTCGTTATATGATAATGGGGACTACAGGTGGAAGAAAGGGAAAAAAAAAAGAGAATTAACTTTTAGAGCATCTTTATCAGCAATCCATAATAGTAAGATGTCTGTGTATTTTTTTAAATGTACCTTTTCAATAAAATAATAAGAAAATTATACGTGCTTATTGTGTTTTAATTGGAACAGGAGAATAACGCCTGAAACAAATTTAGCTAAAGGAGTCTTCCAGGAGCAGATAAAGCATCAGAGTTGCAATAAAGTATAATTACAGAACCTGTGTTTGTTTCCCTTGCGTTTTAATGTCTTTTCCTCACTGCAGCCTGTAACAGCCTTTCCTGGAGTTTTTTTTGCAGCAAGACTGTAAACATTCACTACATCAGAGTTTCGGAGGAAGATGCAGTGGAAACAGGTGTGTGATTATGTGAGTGTTTTAGTGTTCCACCAAAATGCTACACCACGGTTGTGCCATATCTAATGGAGATTAAGGATTAACTTTAAAACCAGCCTGGGCAGACTTGAGCCTGGAAGCAGGTCACTTGAGAGCCAGGACTTGCTCTGAATTATGGACAAAGCATGCAGTTGCTTGACCCAGCAGCAGGCTTTTCAAGGGAGGTATGTGGGGAATCCTTGAACTTATCTTTTTTTACTGCTGAAAAGCTTAATCTATTTTTTAAAAGCCTGCTCTTTGCTAATAAAAAGTGGAAAGTAAAGAGTACAAGAGTAAAAAGATTCAACTGTAAGGCTGTTAAGGTTAATACATAGCCAATAGGGCCATTCAAATCCATAAAGGCCAAGGGAAAAAAAAAATCTTCCGAAACTTTGTAGTGGAGATTTTACAGACCAAGATATACCTCATAGTAACAACATTATTAAATACCATTTCTGCAAGAGTAAAAAACAATTACCCTGTTCTGTGGAGCTGTCAGTTGTGTTGTGAGAGGATAATTCACTGGCGAATCACCTACCAAAGGGGTAGGTAAGGGAATCCAAGCTTTTAGCATCCTCTGGGAGAGCAGCTGACTTTGTTTTAATCTTGTGGACTCTGAAACTCAAAGGGTTACAGGTAGACACCCTGCCATGTGCATCTGTCTGTTCCTGGTTTTGTAGGGAGTCATATTTAACTGCTCAGCTCCCTTCAGAGGAGTTAATACTATCAGGAGCCTGTTGCTGTCCATCATGAGCTAGGTTTACAGAACTCTGTATTTTAACTGGTTCCTCAGGAAACAAGAGTTGTCTGTGTATTAAACCACTATTTTTTTCATTTTATATTCTACTGTTGATGATAAGAAATTTAAAGTAATTACAGGTTTCTGCAATTGAAAATGTTCCTATATGAAATACAAAGCAGGAGGTGACTGGCTTAAGCATGTGAAGATTTCTTGGACAGCTGATTATTTCAAAGAGCATCTTAAAATGGAGAAATATTTGGGTCACGAAGGGTGAAGGAATGTGTTATGTCATTCAGTGATGAAAGGAATTAATCTGTGAAATGTAAGGAGCTAAAAAATGTGATTGTGAACCAAGGAAGATTCTTTATCAAAACTCTGTTAACTTACATTTTGTGTGTTAAAACTCTGCTTGCCACCAAAGTTTTGTATATAACATGCAGGACCAAGCATTTGAGATGATAATTACAGGAAAAATGGTAAATCCTCCCATTATGCCTGCTTGGATCTCTCCTTTTAAAAATGAGCTTTACAAGAGAAAGTATCATAGTCAGACAAACACAATCACCAGCTTTTTTGTAATGTTAGGATACCTTCTCCTGAAGTGTTACATCATGACATTTGGCTGGCTATGAAATTCATGCATTTGTTTTAACAGATAACAAGTATGGAAATATAATATTGGCAGTGCAGTTAGCTTTTTGAGTAAGGTATCATATGTGGAAACCACTAAGGTAATCAGGTTACAGTAATGGGATCATATCCTCTGGTACATCTATTATTCTAGATTTGGTGACTGCACTCTGAGCTGCAAGCTGTTCCTGTATGAAAAGTCAAAAGTTAGAAGGGCACTCTGTGGGTCAGGGATTATCACCTGGCACTGCCATCTTTCTGTAGCAGAAAAAGAAGGATCCAGACCAGATACAGACACATCAGGAGGAACTTTCTGCTAAAGGTAAGTGTGACTGGATCATGGTCTCTGTATCATAAAAGATTTTCACGAAGGGTTATCAAACAGAGTTGTGGTCCACTAGTCTGTACAGATTTATACAGAAGATTTATACTTTATACTTGAAGATTTATACAGACTGCTTTTTTAAAAAGAAAAATAATGGTGATAGGATCTTCTACAGCCACTGCAGGTCACTAGTTGTGTGTCTCTCATTTCTTCAGGTCAAAATAAGAATAAAATCTTTCCTTCCAGTTCTGGTCAGACAGCAAGAGAAGACAGGAGCTAGCGTGGACATTGCCCAGTCAATATCACCTCTTGGACTCTGATGATAATGTTACACTGGGCCCATCTACTGATAAACTAAAAGGCAGGTCCTTTAAGAAAGAGACTTTTTCATTTAAAATAAATTGCTTCATTTTACTACCTTGCAATCTGATCTTGAGCTATGAATTTTATGGTGAGAAGGTTTTGAAAATTATTTTGTCACATTTTCTGGGGGAAAAAAAGAGCATGGTGGTTTTAAACTCTGCAGGAAGTGTTCCACTCTCTTTATGGACCTGGCAATAACCCAGTGAGCTTTAGTGTATATCTTTTGAACATGTCACCTTGAATAAGTGAGGTACTTCACTATTTATTCATGCCTGGTTGGACATTAAATCTCCACAGCCATCATGTTCAAAAGATATACAGTAAAGATATACATCTCACATGTTCAAAAGATATACAGTAAAGCTCACAGTGGTCACAATAATTTTCTTCTGTGGCTTCTATATTTTTTAAACTATTTTTGTTTCAAGTGACAGCTGAAACATCCTCAAGTATTTCTTGGAATGACCAGAATTTCAGGTAAAGCTATTTTTTTTTTTTTTGTGTGTCTAGAATTCTTCTGTGTTACAAGGTTTTATTATTAAACTAACACTGTTTTAGAAATGTTTATATTAGGTTTCATGTCATATTCATATTTATTTGTATAGACAGGGTGCTGTGCTGGAAGCCAAGAGCCAGGTCCTGCTGAGCACCTGAAGTGGGTGGAGGAGGCCAGTCCAAGGCTGCTGCCTTTGAGAGGCTGCAGCTGAGGGAGGTCTCCTGGGACTGTGAAAAGGACAGCTTTATGCCTGTCTTCAAAAATGTCAAGAGTGAGGATCTGGGCACATGAAAGCAAGTAGGTGGTTGGGATTTGCCAGCGTGGGTTGACAAAAAACAAAACAACATCCAAAATGCTGAGTGCTGCCTGGCTGCCATGGGGGATCCATCTGTGCAGCCAAGGGGAGCTGGGTGCTCTGAGGCTTTGGTGAGGTTCCAGCAACGGCTCTCCAGAATCCCAGCAGGCAAATGTGGGCAACAAAGGCATACAATGAGCTGTGGGACAGCCTGGGCCAGCAAGATCCTGGTGTTGGACAGCTGCTGGCAGCCTGTGACAGCCTCTCAGCTCTGTCCCTCGGGCCAGGAACAGCAAACACACTCTGCAGTGACCTGGGCAGGACAGAGCCCCTGGGAACTGTGCAGTGTTGGGGAGTCCTTGGGAAGGACACGTACATGAGTGCCAGAGCAGGAACCTGCTTTTCCAGTGGTGTGCTGGAGAGTGAGGCTGCCCTCCAGAGGGACCTAGGCAAGCTGGAGACCTGGCTTGATGGGAACTTGGGGGACACGGGGAGGTGTCAGGGAAAGGAGCTGGGGAAGGAGCCTGCTGTGCAGTATGGCTGACTGGCCAGCAGCAGCAGGAGCCCTGTGGGAAAGGGCCTGGGCAGGCAGGGGGCACCCAGATCTGTGGTAGGAGAGGGAGCTCAAGTCTGCAGTGCACCCTGGAGGCAGCAGAACCAGGCTGAGTACAGTGCTGTGGTACCAGAACCACAGGCAGCAGCTTAAGGGGTGTGCAGAGCCCCTCTGCAAGGCTGCACTTAGAGGAACGTGTCCAGCTTGGGGCTTCTGGCTAGAGAGAGACCAAGAAATGGGAGCAAGTCTGGGAGAAGGTCAAAAGGTGGTCAAAAATTAGCACATCTTGCTCAGGAAAGTGAGGTGGGAGTGTTGAGCCCAGAGAAGGCTGCAGCAATTCTGGCCACTGTCCTCAAGTGCCTAACCTGGAGTCGCAGGGAAGAGAGATTGATGTTTCTCAGAGAAGCACCATGAGAGGATGAGAGAAGGCAGCCAGAAGCTGCAGGGAAAGAATATTCTGACTGTACCTATGAAAAAAGGTTTTGAAGTAATAGTTGGTAGTGCCTGGAGCAGGTTGCACAGGAAGGTTATTGCAATATCCTGGGACCTTGAGTTGTAGGCTGGAGTAGGTGACCTCCAGAAGACCTGCCATCTCTAAATGAATCAATAATTCTAAAAAATGATAAGGTCTGCTGAAAAAGCAAAAGTAATCATTGTATTACAGGGCAATTAACAGCTAATGGAAACTTTACAGCAGTAAATACTGACTGATGATTCACAACACGGTGGGCACCTGCTGTGCCTGAAAAAATGAAGACAAACATCTTGCCTGCAACAGGCTGAAGAAGGAGACCTGGAAGGAGGATGTACCTGGAAAGGTGAGTCAGTCAAAGTGGCAGCCAGGGGAAATTATTTGTACTGCAATATTGTTACTGGACTTTGGAAGGGCTGAGGCTGTATTTTTCAGACCAGGAAAAGGACCTTGCAGTAATTGCAATGTGATGTGTTTCAGGCCCTTGTCAGTTTTGGTAAAACAAATACATCCATTTTACATGAAGGTATTTGACTGTAGTAGGGCTGAAAAACATATTTGTTAGAAGATGTTAGCTACTGTGAACTATTTTGTTAGGCTAGAAGCAGCCACAGCACAAAGGCTTTTTCAAAAACTGCAGTTTGTACTTTAGATATAATATGTAATTTTAGCAGATTTAAATGCCCAACATGTTCAGTGGCCAGTTGGTGCTGTCAGAGTACTAAATCTGAGCTACAGCTTTCAGGATACTTCAGGCAATGAGCACCCTCTCTAGGGCTCCAGATCCAGACACAGCTCTTGTCCAGCAAGGCACATTTCCATTTTGTTTCCCCAGGATTTTCTATTTTCTTCA